AAGATAAATAACATATTTGGCACTAAAATGATTTTTACTAATTAAAATATAACTTAAAAAATTATAAAACTGAGTTTTTTGACTTCTCTGTGATCAGGGGTATTTTTTAAAAATAAAATAATATTTAAAATAAAAACTTGATTTTTAGCCTATTTTTAATATTTAAATAATTAAAAATCCCTAAGAATCACAAAAATAATAAAACTTGTGAAAATGTTCTGAATTGCTTCCTAATCACTTAGAAACAATTAAAATATTTTTCCTGGTTTTCTAAATAAAAATATTTAATTTTAAAGCTTAAATATGATTTTTAAAGGCTAAAAATGGGTTTTCACTAAAATAATTCCAATAAATCAAATAAAATTTATAAAAATATAAAATCTTCTTCTTTGAGTTTTCTGACCTCAGGGAGACTTTTCAAAAATACAAAACTTAATTTTCCCCATTTAAAATATTTTATATTTAATAGATACCTCAAAACTTAAAATAATTATTAAAATTCAAATAAAATTCAAAAAATCATGAAATTTGGTCCAAAGGGTTATATGGTCGAGCTCTACCTCTAGTAGAAATTTCAAAGGATTAGGAGTCAACTTGGTCAAGTTAGGAATTTTTCTTTGAAAAATTCTATTTTGCATGAAAATAATTATATAAATAAATTAAATTTTGAAAAATCACATTTTCTCCTCTGATGTCTTAATTGACACATGAATGAGGTAGAATAAAAATTTCAAAGTCATTTGAATTGAATTTGACAAATTATGAAGTATTAGAGCCTTAGGGGCAAATGTGTAATTTTAGAAAATTAGCCTTAAATAACATTTAGGCTTAATTTAAAGAGGGAAATGGGTAACCTCTGTTCTTAATCAATTTATTTGATGTTTGAAATAGAAGGTGTTAACTGGTAGAAACCAACCTCACTTTCTTAATTAAAAAGATAAGTTAATAAATTTTTAAATTATTAAAATTTGGAAGTTTATTAAAATAAAATGAATCCAGGACTTAGGGGTATGACTTTTGAAGTCAATAACTAATCAATTTAATACACCTATTTTGATTTTCAAATAAAATTCAAATCATGAATCATGACCACCTAAAGCCTAACCTTTTCAAAACTAATTAAGACACTCACCTAGTAAGTGTTCCAATAACACTAACTTGCCTCTTTAAGAGTCTTCACCCACATAATTTTCAAAATTAAATTACAGATGATAATTATTTTACTCTTAGGGATAATTGAGACATCAATGTTCATTGAGCGTTATGGTGTTTTACAGGATGAATTAATAAGCAACATAATAAGTTTAAAAGAACTTAGAATTTTCCATTAGGCAGCTAGAAAGTAGCACGGACCTGCTTCTTTCTTTAGATCTATTAGATATCTTGGAGATCTACTAAACTTAATATGTTTTACTTGACAAAATCATCCTTAATTAAACTTCTAAGGACCCACCAAGATATGACATAGGGTTAGGAAAACCTTACTTTTTGCCTCTATATAAATTGCCCTGACATGCATTTTAAGTTTCAGGTGGTGCAACGAGAAGACTCGCCAGGTACGCTTTTACAGTTTTCTGCATGAAAACTAAAACCATCGGGATAGCCACATAACCATAACCAAAACCAAAATCTAAAATCAACCAAGATAAAATTCCCTGCCACAACATTCAAAATATAAAACAACTCAAAATTTAATCACAAACATCACACAAAACTACAACTTCAACTAAATTAAGACTTCTCTATCTGATGATCGGGAATTCCTCGGAGGAGGTAACCTAAGGTTGCTAACGAGACTTCCTACGGTCTAAATGAAATTATGGAACTCATTAAGTTGAGTTTAGTAAGTTCATTTGGACTAAGTGAATCCAATAGAAAATAGTGGTGCCTGAACGAGAGAACCGTAAGATCCTAACCGGTGTCGCTCTAATCAACTTTAATATGCCCCCATAAAATTTAAAGAACTTCAACAATAGGGCCACCTGATTTAACATTATAACTTGACATACTAAAAAACTCAAACTCGTCGTGGCGAGGAGCATGGAGCTAGCATAGTGGGCAGCACAACCATCTTCAACGGTAAAATTTGTCTTCCTAGCTAAACCAATCTTCCTTCCTTAGAGTTAAACAACAAAGCCATAGGACTTTGAGGTTGCTTGCTTATGTAACTTTAATCCTTACCTTTTCTTTAGGCCTTTTGCATAGCTCTGCTATACAATATAAGCTCTATCTCGTTTTAGGAGTCAGAGGTTGTCGTTTGTCACAACCTAATTCCTCACATCTTCTAGGCTATTTGTGTGATCGTTTCACACAAATGTAAGCCTTAAATAATAAAATTGGCAGGATGAAACACCTAAATATTTCTTCTCAGAAATGAAGCCAAACATTAGGATGGCTTGGGAAGTCACCGGGGTTCTCCTCTGGACCCATGACATCCCCTAGTTCTTCCTCATTTGGATTCTACAATAAAAATGTTCCAAATTTGAACCAATCCCCTTTCACACCTTCACGTCCTATCTCATTGAAGAGTCCAACCCTTTGAAATTCCTTGAAGATAATATTTCCTGATTTTTATCGAGAGCCTTCTTAGATGACTTTGGTCATTTAAGATGTTATTAACTATAGGGGCTTGCCCTTATAGGAAGCATGACCGAACCCAACTTAATATAAACTCTATTTAATCATTTATATTAAATAAGAGAACTTTTAGGCAAATATAAAGGTTTCACAGACTAAACAGAAGCCATATATTCCTTAGTTTAATTGGTCGAGCCTCATCCTCATGTCTTGTGTTTATCCTTCGGGATATATACAGGGTTTGAGGTACATCGCTATTTCATTTAAACTATGAAACATATGGGTTCAGTTTGATTTTATATTTTTCTAAACTAAATATATATGTAAATTAAAACGTTCTTCTGAAGCTGGCGACGAGATTTTGATTCCGGTGACCGACAGCTTCTTACGGGCAACTCCTCCAACCAAAAATAGCGCCGACAGGTCTGTTGTCTTCTTGTAATATATTCGTATATTGGTTACTTTATTCTCTGAAACTTGACGCCTGCAAAAAATTAGAATTAATTATTTCTTTTAGCAATTTCAACTTTTGTTTTGACTAATGAATTGTCTTTTGAATCATTCAAGAAAGATGAATTTCAGGATTTCAGGGACCTCCCGACGAGTGCTGTGCGACTACATACTACAGACTTCCCTACTGATGTCACGTCGGACACATAAAATATAGGAGATAGTTTTACATTATCCCACGGGGCATCACAGAGAAGAGTGACTTCTTCTGATGGGCAGACAATCCTACAGATTCCACTGCTGATAGTGATTAGACAGTACCACTAGAGGACGACGTAGCTCGTGACATACACCTTCTGGATTTTAAAATTAATACTATCATATTTTTAATTCTAATTTTAATAATTTTTTATCAATCTTAATACTTACTGTTAAGTGAGGTATGCATATTTTTTTGTACTGTTGTGAAGTCATTTTTTGCTTCTCAATTATCAAATATATTATTACGACAATTCTGATGCAAATAACATTATTGCACAGGCGCTGAATAGTCATTTATCTGGTTGCAAAACAACTGTTTTCCAAAAGCACAAACGAAACAACCAACCAACTCATCAGGATCAGCTGCTTATCTAGATCAGTTGCTTATCAACAACTTATTATTAAGCCTCAGCTGCCTCAAATAGACCCTTAGCACCATTTCATGAAGAGGGCAAAGACTATTTATAGAATCTAGACCTCCCAACAAATAAGAAAAAAAATCTGAGCCACTCCATCAAACGACCTAGAGAGATCCTATTTATTGGATGATGTTCTGTGGGCATTTAAGTGCCTTAATAGTGTCAGAATTGAATGATATTGGACTTGCTGAATTTGGCTCATCGAGACACTCGAGTTGAAAGTAAGTTTGTCAGATTTCAAAGCCATTTGACATTTCAGTTTGACACTAAAAGCTTTCAAAAATAGTTTAACGGCTCGATCTGGGCTTGATTTGACTGAATTGGACCAACTTTGGAGTTGTTGTCTTTTACTTGTCGAGCATGTTAGTTTAACTATAAGTTTACTCTAATCGAAGTTCTAGATGATTTTTAATTGAAATTTAAATATTTTATACTAAAAATTATTTCAAGACTAGACTCAGCTCGTGCTCGACTCGTTTATATTTCGAGCTCAAAATGTGTGTTCGTGTTCAGCTCATTTGCTTAGCAAGCGGAACACGAGCTATTCACGAAGAAAGAGTCGTTTTGATAACCTTAATCACATAACCATAAGATATTAAGGGTTGGGGCAAGATTTAAAAATTATTGTTTATATTAAAACATCATTTTTATATTAAAAATTATTGTTTATATTAAAACATCATTTGAATCTAATTGAATAATTTTCATTCTATTTTCTTAATTAATATTTTTAATTTAAATCTTTACTTTATAGCCTTGCAGTCAATTAAATTTTTTAAAAGTACTACTCATCAATATATATAGATATATATAATTGATGATTAGTATTTCGAGTCAAAACGAGCCGAACACTAGCTGTTTAAGAACAACGAGCCATTTTGACAGTATCACATCTTAAGATTTGTGCTGATAATAAAAAAAAAAATATTAATGACATATCACTAATTAATAAAATTTACAAAATAACTTTCGAGTAGAAGTGTCACTTCAAGATCTAGACAGTGCACTGCATACAAAATCATATAATCATCAACTTATTCAATTGAATTTGCTTTAAGTTATTTTATTTTATTCTTTTTTGTGTTCATGGGTGGGGTGAGTTGTTGTTTTCCTTTTCTAAGAAACCTTAGATTTTATTTTTTTTTTTTTTTTTTGTGCGAGTTGCAAGGGCGTGTTGCTTCTTGCCTTATTCTGCATTTTTGATTTAGTTGGAATAAAAGTTTCCTAGGAGGTTTATATTATATATATATATGAACACCAACTCTCTGCTACATTAGAAGAGGAAAAGGCCAACAAAGTAATAGTCCAGAACCAACAGAATTGGTGGCTTCAATCAGCAAATATTGGGTTTATTATAATATCTTTTCGCGAAGAATCCTGGCAAGCGCTCTCGCCTGAGGCGAATCAGGATCCCCCCTCACCTTGGCCGCCCGCCACATCTCTTCAGCCCGCAGCAGTGCATCATCCACCGTCTCCCTCACCAACAAAATCTCCTTCTCGTCGCCCCCATGGTTCGCCCTTTGGATAATCGGTTTCCGCGCGGCCACAATCTCCACCTTCAACTGTGGCGACGACTTCTGCTTTTCGTGGTATTTTCGGTAGTCTCCCGCTTCAGAGTTGCTTTCCTCCTCATCCAGCCGTTGCCTCCCTGTCTCACCTTTATTGAGGCTGTTCAGTAGTGGTCTGCCATCCCATCCCAAACAGAAGAAATCATTGCTGTTGGACAGAGGGCGTGTGGAGGACCACGAGAGGGTAGTGCCCGCCGGCCGGGAGAGTACACGCTTGGTGAGCATTCGAAGAGCAACAGTGAACTGCATCGCTTTCGTTCTTCTTCCCTACCGCGGTTCGAAGTTCCTGTGGGCGAGCGGCGAGTGTGGTTTATAGATCTGGATGGTGCCTACTGTCAGCACACGTGAGCACAATGGAAGATGCGCGAGACTTCCCTGCTTCGGTAGAAGGGTCGAGGGGAGAATAAAAAGACCATGTGTAGACCCGGTTCGTAAACACTACTACGACCGTTGGTATCGGTCCATGTAGATCTGTCTATGCAGGGTTTATCCACTCGCGAGGGGGCAACTACTGAAAGGGACGGGTGACCTCACTCACCTTCTATCTGCTCTCACACTCCACTTAAGTTATTTCTTCTGGTTCACTCTCGGTTTCTTTCACCTCGGCCTGCTCTGCCTCTCTTTCTCTCTACGGGCGAAATGGAGAGGAAATCTGTGGTGGAGGCGGGGCCGAGTTCCAACAAGGAACGTCGGCGGCCGGGGCCCTGGCCGCCGAGGATCGAGCCCTTCGTCTCGAAGAAGGATCACCATCCCCTTGAGCTCAAATCGTGGGCTAACAGGACGGGTTTCAACCACAATTTCTCCGGTGAGAGTGCATTAAGCAGCATCATAGACGAGGGAGGGGATGATGCGGCACCGGCAGCAATACCCCCACCACCGCCGCCAACCCCTCGGAAGATCTGTGGGATTGGATCTGGAGAAGGGCATTGGTCGACGCCTTGGGAACGGAGCGGCCACCAAGGTCGAGCTGGAGCCGAGTTTGGGGCAGAGAAGGGCTAGTGCTGATATCAATCCGGTGACGGATCCGGATTCGGAGCGTGCTGGTTCGAAGGATGTTGGGAGAAGGTTAGATAAGGAGAAGAGGAAGATTGGTATTGAGCCGGAATTTGGTTGGAAGGAAGAGGGCAGAGGGTTGGGGAATGATCTGTCGGTGACAGGGAAGGGCGAGGGTATAAATGGAGCCGAGCGCGGGAATGGGGAGCGTGCTATGGCCATGGGATCGGGGGATGGAGTGCCGAAAAAAGATGAAGTGGAGATTGACTTGCTAGCGGATCCTCTGGAGCCACAGACGAGGCCTCCGTTTAAATCCGGGCTTCTGTGCGAACTCATGGAAAATCCGGGTTTTGGTTAGTATATATATATATATATATATAATTTATTTCAGTTGAGATTTATATTTTGGTTTGTAGCATTGTCTTGGTTCATATTGTTAATATTCATGCTCGAATTTTTTCTGTGATTATTTTGCAACTTTGTTTTTTAGTTAACCGACTATTATAGGAAACTGTAATGTAGTTTTATATAGTTTTTTTGTTGATGGGGGTATTTTGTTTTGCTAATTAATTAGTGATATACTTTTTAAATGAACAATTATTTTCATGAATCTTTATTAGTAGGTACATAGCTTAGTTCATGTATTTTTTTCTTATGCATATGCTTTGAAGTAGAAAAAATCTCAAGCAAAATTGAAGTAGCATTTAAAGTTATATTAATTTCCTCAGGATTTTATAAATCTGAATTTACCGGATGTATTAGATAGATTTGATAAATCAGAATTTATGGGATTTATTAATTTTTATTTAAGTTAAATCCTGCTTGCAATTAAACCAACCCAAATATGGATTTAAATGGGCGTAGGATTTATCTCTGCACATTTTGGCATTTGGAGGACCTAATGTCAAATACTGCTCCTGCGTAAATCTTATTTAAAACCCGCTACCAAACAACCCCATAAATTAGCGGGGTGTCTGGGATTGAGAAAATCCTTTCATTATAGGCAATTGAAACAAGACGCGGACTTCTTACTAAAGGTTTGTTACCCTTGGAGTTGTCTTTATATCCCCAGGGTTGAAACTTATCAAGTATGAACCTAGTTTTGCTGAACTGATTTGAACTAATTAAAATGCGTGACATAGGTTTTCTTTTATAGACTAATAGTAAAAATATGCATGTTCTAAATGCACATGATTAATATTTTATTTCAAATATTAAATTTTATTTTAATTTGAATGTAAATTTGTATTTCTTAAATTGGGCAAATCATTTGAACTAATATTGAATGAGAAACAACTCATTTTAATTAATATGGATTGAACGTTATCCATCTCTTAACTCGAAATGGGAGGAGCTAGCGGATTTGAAAAAGGATCTTAGAGTGTCTAGGATTGGGCTAGAAGTGTCTCCTAATGCTTTCTTTTTTTTTCCCTTCGTGTTGATTTCAAAAAGACTTGTCATGGTAAGAGAGAAGGGGGAACAAGCACACTTGAAGAGCTCAGAACAGTGAAGAGTTGTATGTTGTGTTCGATAAGGATGAATCGCTCCCGAAAAAGAATGTATGGATTATCTCCCAATTGGTTGGATTGTAAGTATGATGATTTACTTCACAGGCAAGATTTCTGGTTCATGTTCAGGATGGCCTACTTCCACCTTGGAAAAGAATAGAAGACGATTCTAACTCTTCATGCATGCTTCGCTCGAATATAGCCCAGTTGTTATTGCTCCACTCTTGCAATTGGGTGGTTGCAATTACAGGTTGAATGTCTAATTGTCCAGACCGTAATGATAGTATCATTTGCCTAAGCCGTTAGCTTACTTTTTCTAAGGAATGAGGAAAAGGACCAAAGCATGCCACTGAGAAGAGGAGGTAAGATGAGCCGCTGGTCAGATCTAGTTAAGTTAGATAAGATTGGCTTGTTACAGTTCCATAATTAGAAAATTGTAGATTGCTACAATCCTGGGAGGACACTGCTATACAGTTTGGGTATAATGAGGGTGACATTATGGTGTGGGCGACACTTAACACAAAAGAGTTGGGGTACAAAACAAATTTCGAGAGAAATGAGAAGATGTAGTATAATATTGTTAGGCCAATAAGTTCACCAATCTCGATGTTTGTCTTAAGAGAATAATGCGCTAAAAAAGAAAAAAGGACAGTTCAAACGTGATTTTCTTAGATTCCCTTTTCCGCACTTATAGATCTTTCTTTTAAGTTTGTCACTAAAGAGAGGAAAGGAAAGAACAAATCTAAGAAAATACAAAACAAACAAAAAAATAGAGAAATTAATAAATGTAAAGGAAAACAAAATTATAAACTACAAAATATATGAGAGAGGATGATGTGTCATAGAAATATGCGGAAAATATGGAGCATCCGTGTCATTACATTTTTGTCTGCATATATAATGAACAATAGAATATGTTGTATAATGATTGTGGAAGGTTCTAGAGGCAAAATCAGTTCAATTATCTACTAACGACCTAGATGTCGTGGTTGTTATAAAATAGTGGTTGTGATGTACTAAGCAAATATGAAGCCATTGTATTGGTAGAAGTGTTGTGTTGTATTTAAGTATTATTAACCCCTGCAAAGTTAATGGATCTGACAAGAACAATCAACTTGGAGCAAAGCATGTTAGATTGCAATTTGAATAATGCTTTGGTGAAGATGTCACTCGGCTATTCTTGAGTGGCAATATAATGAACTTGGAGCTGTTTGGACATAATTTGACCCCGAATAAAATGATAGTCAATCTCGATATGTTTTGTTCGAGCATGAAAACCTGAGTTGTAGGCGAGTGCCTTAGCTAAATTATTATTGTATTATAAGGTAGTTGATTGAGGGGGAGCAGTTCTAAATTCTATGAGAAAACGACATAGTCATAAGATATCATAAGTATCGATAACTAGTGCACAATATTCAGCTTTTGTAGAGGGCCGGACATCAACATGCAATCCATGCAAAAATTGTGTTGCCCAAAAATGAGCTAAAACCACTTGTAGATTTACAGTTACCCAAGCCACTAGTTGAAACTGAGTTCAAATATGTGTGAAGTGTAAAGTTATCAGGCTGAATGAAGTGACCAAAATGAACGGTTCCTTTTAGTTATCGAAGAAGGCATTTGAGTAACTAAAAATTATAGATTTATAGATTGTGAGTATTTTGGCAAAGTTGGTTTACAACAAATGAGATATTCGATGTGTTGATGGTAAGATATTGCAATAAACTTTTGATTTGCCTATATAGCATTGGGTTAGCAAATGGGCTCTCTAGGATAGTATGTGATTGCTTCTTAGAAGCTTGGGGAGTAGTGATTGGTTTGCATCTAGTCACTTAAGTAGTTTATAGAAGTTGGAGTAGATAATGTTGTTAGCTAAGAAAAATATGGTCTGTAGCATGAGTAATTTCAATGCCCAGAAGCAGGATACCAGGTGAAATCTAGAGTTTAATTTTGTAATGTGAATCAATATACCTTTGAATTATCATCAATTATGAGAATATCATGTAAGTATATGGGCGTAAAGATATTAGTGTTGTACCGATGAGAGATGAGAAGTGATAGGTCTACCTTGCTGAAGTTAAAGCTATAGTGGATGAAGAATTTTAAGAGGGTGACAAACCTGTAAGGCTAGCAAGTAGGATAATGAGAGTTTTGTACCTAATGATATATATTTAGTTTTTGAATTCGTTTCTGCTTTGGAACGAGTGAGAATGAGATGTTGAGGAGGAGGGATAGAGAGTTATGGTTAGTTGGTGGGCGGGATAGGAGGGTATCAGGTGATATCCAAGTGAGAGGAAGAAGATAACTGAGAGTTTGATTAGTGAGTGGAGGGGGTTGTGTGCTTAGGGGTGTGAACAAGCGGAGCTTGAGCTTGCCCATAACTTGTTCTTGTTTGGCTCGTTCAAAATTTTTTTTATTCGAAATGTCTCTTGAATAGCAAGTTCATGTTTAGCTTGATTCAAATTTTCTTTTATTCAAATTAGCTGTTGTTCAACCTGAATTTGTTTTTTATTGAGCTGAGCCATTCCTCGAACTCTCATGCTCTTTATATCTGATATTATTAAAGATGAAATAAAATTGAAGAAAGTTTAACAAATTAAATTATATTCACTAAACTTCTAAAAACAAATGATTCTTACTAATATACGAATAATAAGAGAAAAAATATCATCTCACTTCCACTTTCGCTAGCTTCTAAAACTTTTCAGATTGGTAAGCTTTAATGTTGCTTTTAAAGAGCATTTTTAATTCGAAAATTTCTGATTTGAGACTAATACTTAGGGGGAAAGGAAGAAGATCACTGAGAGTTTGATTAGTGAGTGGAGGGGGTTGTGTGCTTAGGGGTGTGAACAAGCGGAGCTTGAGCTTGCCCATAACTTGTTCGTGTTTGGCTCGTTCAAAATTTTTTTTATTCGAAATTTCTCTTGAATAGCAAGTTCATGTTTAGCTTGATTCAAATTTTCTTTTATTCAAATTAGCTGTTGTTCAACCTGAATTTGTTTTCCATTGAGCTGAGTCATTCCTCGAGCTCTCATGCTTTTTATATATGATATTATTAAAGATGAAATAAAATTAAAGAAAGTTTAACAAATTAAATTATATTTACTAAACTTCTAAAAACAAATGATTCTTACTAATATACGAATAATAAGAGAAAAAATATCATCTCACTTCTAGCTTCTAAAACTTTTCAGATTGGTAAGCTTTAATGTTGCATTTAAAGAGCATTTTTAATTTGAAAATTTCTGGTTTGAGACTAATACTTAGGGGGAAAGGCTGAATGGGGCCGCGGGGGTGCGGGAAAATTCTAGGAAACTTAGATAAGGTAGGTTGGGTGGGACCATGGGTGTGCGTGAAAATTTAGAAACATTTACACACATACCACCCAATTCTTATGTATGTGCATATCTAATTCTTAAATCCTAATGCCAAATCTCATAGGGAGGGGCGGGGCAGCTGGAGTGCAGGACATTTACATATTTATCACCCAATTCTTATATATTGCAAATACCCAAAAAATTTTAGAGGCATTTACATACAGATCACCTAATTATATACTTAATACATAAATGTAGAAAGACTTCTTGGGGAACTTACATACATACCGCCAAATTCTTATGTATTTACATATTTGATTCCTAAAATGTATTTTTTACATATATACCGACTAAATCTTTGACATCCCTATGTGTGCTAATCCATACCATGAGATGAAGCCTTAGGTTGAGAGAGTTGATGGGAGGTTGGTGTGAGGAGAGGAGGATAATAATTGAATTATGGATGACCAAGAGATTTGGTAGGTGCTTGAGATACATATGGGAAGGAATGTTCATCGAAGACCACATTAT